CCATATCTACCACCCCGTGCCGTGCTTTAATCAGCGTTTATGTGGTTGTTGTACATGGCTCAACCCAACGAGAGCGGTATACTACATAGTTCAACTCAGTGTATCTCACCAATACAGCCCATGCCCTATACGCTCAGGAATTCAGTCGTGGCCGCTATAGCACTCCCTTCTACCTTTTTATATCCCACGTACATGTGTATATACCTACTGCATAGTTCAACTCCGTATATCCCCAATACATACAACACCAGATGCTCAGTCGCACCTGCTATGTCTAACACTCTCTTGCACCCCTCGATATCACACCCCTCCATCTACCAGCAAGCCTTTGTCGGGTACTTAGGCGATGGGGATGAGTTCACCCAGGAGTGTGCGAGTAATGGGCTGGGCTTGGTATACGAGTGTGGCGACGGGTCTCTCAAGGAAAGCCTAGTCACTACGCTGGTGTCCACCTTAAGTGACGGGCAGAAGCGCTCGACCAAACTGGTAGGTGTTTAAGTGGTAGGTGTTGGTAGCATGCTTGGTCCGTATATGTGGGCTGTAGTGGGTGTGGGTGTATGTGTATGTGTGTGTGAGTCTCTCTCTGTATGTGTGTGTATGTATGTGTGTGTGTGTAAGTGTTTGTGGGTGTGTGGTTGGGCATGTCTCTGTGTGTGTATGTGTGGGTGTGTGGGTGTGTGCAGGTGTGCCAAGAGATGTAGTTAACCGGACTTGGGTGTATAGATGACCTGGGGGAGTACTGATAAACGGAGTGTGTTTGATTATAATGAGGTATTCATATTGTAGACTGTGGTACTAAATTGTTTCGTCACACCCATGGTATTTGGTGGTGGTTTAGGGGTCCACCCCTTCGAACTCCGATTGGACAGATATCGTTAGTCACCGATGTATTCATACAATTAGGACAAAAAGTACATTTATTCAATTAGGAAAAAAATTGCATTCGTAAAATTAGGAAAAACGTACATTTATATCTAGGACAACAACGACACCCATACACGACAAACCCTACATCTATATACTTGAGACAAAGGTATATTCACATACCTGAGACAAAAAGTATATTCGTACACTTAGGACCAAAAGTATATAGAATCCATGTATGCATTATGATAAGCTTGTTAGGTTGTACTACACAAATCATACAATGGTATATGTAAACTCAATACAAACATAACAGTATAAATCAGTGCAAATCACATAGTACATACACACCACTACCCGGTATCTGCTGGGAACTGACACACGTGGATAACCATCCACAGGTACATTCGTGCATGTCGCCTGGTGATATAATAGAATAAATCATATAAAAGTACATATAACCCATATAATATTGTATATAAACCATATGATAGTATATAAACTACAGTACAAACATAAAATAACATAAATCAGTGCAAACCACATAGTACATATATACCTCTACAACTGACACACGTGGGTCTACCCCCTATCTATCGACTGAGCTATACGGCACACAAGCTTCACCCACCTACTGACCAAGGCTACATTGATACCTACACTACTCATGCGGTACAGAGCGGAGACACCCCGGTGTTCATGGACGGCAACATGGGAAATACTCCCGACGGCAAACAGCTGGGTACGTACAAAGATCTGTGCAATCTGGTGAGTGAACTCAACAAACCAGACCTCATCTACCGGTTCATGGCCCTGTCTAACAACAATGCGCTCTGGCAGAGCCGCAAAGGCGCGGCCTTTGGCTTTGCCAGCATCGCCAGTATTGCGGTATGTGTGTGGTTGGTGCTGCGATTGTTCGTATATATGTATATAAATATATATATATACTTCTATATTTATATATATATATATACTTCTATATTTATATATATATATATATACTTCTATGTTTATATATATATATATATATATATATATATAAATCTAGAAGTATATATATATATATATATACTTCTATATTTATATATATATATATATATATACTTCTATATTTATTTATATATATATATATATATATATATATATATATATATATATATATATATATATATATATATATATAATATACATATATATATGTATATAGGGAGGAGCAATAGGATGCAGTTCATTATTGTATAGATTGTTAACCTTGTTCGGCTTGGTGGTGAGCAACTTGGTGCAGCTTTATTTGCTCAGTGTTGTCTGCTCAGTGTATGTAGGATGAGTGATATGATGCGTCTTTATTTATATAACGTTATCTGCTAACGTTGTTTGTTCGGCTTTTGGGGGGTGAGTACTATGATTCAGTCGTTTATATGGTATTGTTTGGTGCCGTACTTCAGCCTTGAACAATATTATCCAGATTTATATATCCAGGATTACTTGCTATCGTTGTCGACCTTTTGAGGGGATGAGTACTATGGTCCAAATTCTGTTGAAAGTTCTGTTGAAAGTGTCTAGTTTGCCCGCGTCCTGATGAAATGGACATATATCGATGGTGACCAAGTTTGATTTTGGCCCCTTTCCAGGGCGAGCAATTGGACCCATATCTGCCCCAGTTGGTGCCGAAATTGTACCGGTACAAACACGATCCGAATGTTAAGACGCGAACGGCCATGGGACAAATTTGGAAATCTCTTAATCTGGAAGGGTATGGCTCATGTGTGGCTCGCGAAAGTGGTATATATATGTATTGGTTACGTTTATATGTATGTTGGATACGTTTATGCGTACTGTTGAATGCGTTTATATGTATGTTGGATAAGCTTATGTGCAAGTTGTAAACGTTTATGTGTATGTTGGATACGTTTATATGTACGTTGTATACATTTAAAAGTATGTCAGATACGTTTATATGTATACATAATTGAATTTCCAGTAAAATCAGCATATGTGTAAATCATTATGTTATAGGGGCGAACGATCTTCTATCGTTATATTTGTGTATATTACTTGAAATCAAATCTGATCTATTTTTGCATGATTTCCCTATTAACATAACATCTTATCTTCCTTGCTTCCTCGCTTAGCTTCGTTCCATCAGTTCAATCTATATATATATATATATATATATATATATATATATATATATATATATGTGTGTGTGTGTATATATTATATATATATATATATATATATATATA